GTGTATGCGTGTCGGAGTACATCTGGCGGAGCAGGGGCCATGTGTGCGAGGGGGCAGGAGATCTGTCTCCATGGCCCAGTCCTGCCAAGGCTTATGGATATGGGGTTGGGGACCCCTGCTGTAGACTGCTACCATTGATACTGTCAACATTCAGGCTGCCCTTTGTTATGTAAAGCTTGACATCCTTTTTCCTGCTGGCAATGCAAGCACAATATTGTGCAGATATACTGGACCATTTCCTTTCATTTTGAATTGTGGATACAGAAGTACTATATCCCACATTCACTAACTGGTGTGTGGGTGGGTGGGTGTTTACAGAATTCAATTGTATCAATTGTGTGTTCCTACCCAATAATTATGAATTTTAGTAACAGCACTAATACAAAGTATAATAAAGAATAACATAGTCATCCTTAGACATTCTGGGCCTCCAGTGTACTCACCAGCTGCAAAAGGGGCATGCTTCCCACTTGTCTTTCACACATCTTATTGAACTGAAGTGCATGTTGGTTTTGTTTCTTGCAGATGGCTAGCAGAGGCCAGCAAAAGGAAAAATCAGCCAGCCAGGAGAATAATTGAGTTTAATTTCTCTTCGAACCTGGAGTTCTTGACCCGTTTCAGAGGGGGGGAAATCTCCTGTCTGCTTTCGGTAAAAAATGTACTCCTTAATTCTTCCACCTATTCTACTTAAATATTTTTTTAAGGCAGCAAAGCTATTTCTAAATGTGAGAATCTTTTTAACCACTGTGTGACTTATCTTCATTGATATACTCTAGCTGCCCAGCTGGCTTTCCTCAAGAAGCTGAGAAGCAGGTTTTCAAATGGGCTGTAAGTGTTCTGGTATATGGTGAATTGCTAGAATGTTGCTGAGGTCATCATGGTATCAAATCGGTAAAAGCCAGAGAAGCATTGTACAGTCTTCCTTAATGTGATAGCCAAAATAAGTGTTGGACTACAATTTATATCATCCCTGACCATTGGCTATGCTTACTAGGGGGCTAACAGAATCTGACATACCAACATCTAGAAAGTACTAGGTAAGAAAAGGCTGGAAGAGTGAACTCAAGGTTCCAATTCCTGCTCAGCCATCAACTTCACTGGAGGATGACAGGGGAGACAACCTATGCCAGACTGATTGCTTTTCAGTATTGTGGTGAGGATGGAAAACCAGCAGTCTCATGGAGCTGCTGCTTACTCACTGGGAAAAAGGTGAGGCAGAAATGTAATAATAGATAGATAGATAGATAGATAGATAGAGAGAGAGAGAGAGAGAGAGAGAGAGAGAGAGAGAGAGAGAGAGAGGACATCTGTCTTTTTTCTGTACCTGTAAGCAAAATGCTTTCCTTTTTTATTCAAAACCTCAATAGATAGATGTCATAGGGTGAGTCTGTCCTTTCATAAATATTGCTTAATAATTGCAAAATCAAATATGTGAGAGAGAAAGAGGGAGGAAGGGAGAGAGCGAAAGAGAGCAGATGGAATATTACTTACAGAGCTTTCACATCACAGTGAACCACAACATTTCAGCGTAGGCAGGTCATACATGTGTAGCTGTGAATCACTGATAAATCTTTCAGTGATATGCTGTGAGGATGGATGTATCTCATCTGGCCACTATGACTTATGCCTTAGTTACATCCTGGTTGGATTACTGTAACACACTCTACATGGGGCTGCCTTTGGAAAGTGTTCAGAAACTTCAGCGGGTCCCAAATGATGCAGACTGTTAACTGGGACTGGTTACAGGAACCACATAACCTCAGTGTTCCCAGACACAATTCAGAGTGCTGGTTTTAACCTATAAAACCCTAAATGATTTAGATCCAAGCTATCTGAAGGACCACATATCCCTTTATGACCCTGCCTGGATGTTGAGATAATCAGGGGAGGCCTTTCTCTTGGCCCTGGCACCTTCATAGCTTTTAAATATTGTCTTTTTTAACAACGTACTCTGCCTTGGGTTCTTTTTAAGAGAAAGGCAAAGTAAAAATATTTCAAATAAATAAATAGGTTCAGCCTTAGGTTTGGATAATCCAGATTGGGTGACAGACATTGTCACTAGTTTTGATAAATTCGTGATTCCAGAACCTTTGGGCCTCCTTCATTTTGCCTATCTGTTCCACCGCTGACACTTGAAAGCCATGCATGTTTCTAATAAACTTCCATAGGTATGCTGCTATGAAAAACATCTACAAAGAAAACAGGAGCTTCCCTATGAATTGATTTCTTCCTTTTCATGTAATCAACTAGTTTCCATTTTCTGTCACAAATTAGGCCCTCATTAGAGCTGACCCAAGTCTTGGATGATGTCTTCAGACAATTTTTCTCTCCTGTCCAATTTTCCATCATATGAGTTCAACCAACCAACTATTCCCACCCTTAGCTGTATTTAGCCATTGCCCTGTTATGATTGCTTCATGAAATAATGAGAACAGTAACGTTCAGAGTCTTCTGCCATTATATGCTATATTTTATTTACTGAAAAGATCAGCATACCAAATGATCTATTGCCCACGGAGATTGAAGCCCTCCACTTCAAATGCATATGCTGCACAGAGACAAATAATTTGCCTAAAACGAGAACTGCAGAAATGTTAGCATGTACAGTGGGCTATTATAAGATCAAGTGCCACAAGGCTGATGTCAGACTTAGTTGAAGCTTTGGGCTAAATGTGTGAAAGTTCAAGTCTTTCAGCAGAGGATGGAAGGATCCAAGAACAGCGGAGTCTAGATGAAAGGGAGTATGCTATGGATAAGGATACCTCCTAAATCTTTCACAGCAGCACACATTCCTTAGAATAAATGTCTCCAAATATGCCAATAAAACCTGGAGGAGTTATGAAAGGAAATCTCCTGTTATTAATCTGTCCTTGCTAATTAGTATCAAATCAATTTTGACTAATGGGAAAATTTAGTACAAAAAATCCCCATAAGAATATTTTTCACAACTTGGCAGAAAGAAGTAGGTATGCCTGTGTTGTGCAGAATGACCAATTTTCCGAGGTTCTCCTGTACTGCTCAGGACTTTCACAGGAAATGTCTGAACTCTGCCCTGAATGATCACTGATAGACAGATGTGAATAAGAGGATATTCGACGTATACATGTGGTGGGAGCACAAAAGTTCAAAAGATGGCCCTCCTGGCTGCAGTCAGTTGCCATGTTCTCTCCTATTGTCCATGAATGTACATGGCTAACATCCTTGGGTAGAGGTAATCCACATATGAGGCTTCTGAGGACAGCAGCACACATTCCTTAGAATAAATGTCTCCAAATATGCCAATAAAACCTGGAGGAGTTATGAAAGGAAATCTCCTGTTATTAATCTGTCCTTGCTAATTAGTAGTCGTTTGCTCCAAAGTTAGTCAAATTAGCATAATGTTGCTGCTATCCATGCTCATACACAGACAACTTATTTCTTCTAACCTGTTGTGTTTTGTAAACCACTGAACTGAGCAATTGATACATGGCAAAGGGTGTTGTAAAGGGTTTAAGGAGATGGCAGGAGAACTGCCTTTAGGAATCTGCATTTATTTGCTCTTGCTTACTGATAGACAGATGTGAATAAGAGGATATTCGACGTATACATGTGGTGGGAGCACAAAAGTTCAAAAGATGGCCCTCCTGGCTGCAGTCAGTTGCCATGTTCTCTCCTATTGTCCATGAACGTACATGGCTAACATCCTTGGGTAGAGGTAATCCACATATGAGGCTTCTGAGGATTTACACACACCTTATGACACCTCAGCGTGGTTCACCTGGGAGAAAAGGCCTCAACTGTAAGGCTCTGATGCTTAGCTAGGCCTGGTCCACACCTAGTTTCTTGTTCAGAAAGATAGATAACACTACCTTTCAGAAAACATGGGCGGAGCTAGGCCTAGCTAAGCCTCGGAGCTTCCCAATTTAGGCCTTTTCTCCCAAATGGACCACATTTAGGTTTGCAAAAATCTGGTGGAACTTCCAGAATGAGTTATTATAGGATAGGTAGTAAAATAATCCAAGAATCCTATCTGTGCTGGCTTCTGTTTTCCAAAGTGGCTATGAGGACCATTAGCCTCTAAATGTACACAGAAGGCTGTCAGCCAGTCACATGAAACTGCTTTAAAAAAAAAAAGGTCAATAGACTTGACACTGTATTTATTTACTTGGAGACGTGCCATTGTGTTATTGGACTTACTCCTGGGTAAACAGATACGTATATGGTGTGCAGTGTGAAAGACACTGAGAAGAGATATTTATATCCACTTCATTTATCTTATTTCTCTCTTAAACAAGTGTGTATGCATCCCCATAATTAAACTCCCTCCTTCCAATATAAGCAAAATGTAAAATACATAAAATGTCTACCCATTCAAGGAAGAAACACTACAAACTCACCTTTATCACCTTCCATTAGCACATCCTTGCAGTATTCACAGTTGATGGCTGCCATTTTAATTGTTTAATAACACTACCTCTTGGTATGGATGCATAGAGTACAGTATATGCTTGTGCAACGCAAAAAAAAAAATTGACTGGAAACTCCACAATATTAAATCTTAAGGTCCAAAAATGTGATCTTAATCCAGCTGTAATTTTGTTCATTGGTTAAACACACTGAAAAGCAACAGGAGGCTTGTTTCTTGGACGTAACAGTGGCTGGTTTTTTTTTTTCCTTCCTATCCTAGCTTTGACAAGGGCTTGAAGCATATATTTTAGAAATGACAGTTGAGCACCCAGGACAGCTAATAATGTAAACAGCACCAGGCAGCTTTACTGGAATACAGATGAAACTCAGCCAACTAGGCAATGTGGCAAACCAACCTTCAGCTGTTTCCCCCCACCCCATCTCCCTTATTCAACTTTTCCCTGTCCTCCCACTACTATAGCAAGGCAACTGGAATTCTCATTCTCTCTCTCTTTCAGTCTGGTTACACACGTACACAAGCAGTCACAAAGAGGGAGAGTTCATTAGGTAGCTGAATTACAGAGAGGTAGGTCTTGTATCGTTGCTGTAGTGGAGTCCTCTTCATTCAGAGGAACTGGTGGCAGCCACCAAGGTGTTCAGTGGGGTAATGCAGGTGATAAATGATGACACCGAACTAATAGCCAGAGTCCTATTGCAGATTCAAGCCTGCATAAGAGCATCAGAGTAAATTGTGCTGGCGAACAGCCATGAGTAGAAAATGGTAACTTCCAGTTCCCAAGTGGCAGCCTAATGCCAGCCAAAAAACTGGTACAGCTGGCACACAGGTTTCACTAGTAATTAGAAATTATAATATATTCCAGCAATGTGTACCTGTATCATGGGGGGGGGACAACATAAAACAAAACAGTACCAACACCAGAGATGGGGAAATCTGTTCGTCATGTTCTCTTCAGGCTTTTCAGTTTCCCATCACCATTCCTGTTCCATCCCATTTCTGTACTGGGTCATCACCCCAAGCAGATGCAGTGATTTTGTATGTGTTTTCCCCCCTAAATGTACACCTGCTGTAATACCCACTTTTCCATTGATTAAAGTGTGCTTGCATGCCTTTCTTTTTTGGAAGCACACATTAGTCACACGTGACTTCGAAATGAATGCCCCATTTTAATGTGCAGCTATTCCACCCATGGCTTCTTAAGCCTTGCAAGTTTTCTGATGTACGCTGTGTTCTACTCAGTACTGCCTGACATTTCCATAGGGAAATGAGAACCCAATGGATTTATTTTCTGTCCCTAAAAAAACCCCTGAAAGGCTGCCGCACACAAGAGAGCAACAATACCGTTTGTGCCAGCTGCAATGTGCTTCATTTATTAGAAGGGCAGCCTTTGCTTTCACGGTTAGGAAACTGTCTTAGCAGCAAGAGCAGTTATTTGGTGCCATGGCAGGTTACCCTGCCCTAGAATTCTCCCAAACAGCTTTTGGGAACTGGGTCTGCTCTAGCTTTGGATTTTCTGCATTGCCCACTGCAGGAGGTTGGACTAGATGGCCTTCAGGCCTCCTCCACTTGTATGTTATTGGAAAAGTTACTTTTTTGGACTACATCTCCCAGAAGTCTTCAGCCAACATGGCTAAGAGATTCTTGGAATTATTGTGCAGAACAATATGTTTCCTGGGCTCTCTCTACAGTTTTACACAAAAGCAAGCTTCAAGAGGGGATTTGGACACCAGGTTGGTTCTAATTGCAGATGTCTTGCTTGTGATTCAGACACACTTTCATCGACTGTCCCCTTTCGCCAGACTCAAATGGATGTATACATGGGACCATCTGTGGCTGGGGAAGCTATTGCCTAAATAGAAGAGAGGGCTGGGATCGTCTTTCACAATGAGACAATACAGAAGTGCTAAGGTCCTCTTGTTGCTCCCTGACTTTTAAGAAGTTCCAGTAACGTTTTTAGGGCTCTCTAAAGGATTATGAAGGATAGACTGCTAAAATAACACCTGACATTTTACCCTGAACTCCTGAAACGCCGCTGATTCATTGACCACACTCTGGGCAATGTACATTTACAGCCTCATTTTATGTTTAAAGACTTCCTGGGCTGGGTGTGTAAAAGATAGATTTCAGAACTCACCATGGAAATCCCAGGATTTGTAAGCTATTTGCTGGCAAATGACAGACTTGTTTTTCCACACAGGGTAGTTAGATTTTATTTCATTTTTTTCTTTTGTTTTTGTTTTAAGGTGGGTCAAGTGGGTGTACGTGGTGTTTTTTTTTTTCTTTCTTTCTATGATCACTTTACAATGTTTTCCATTTGGTTGTTATGTCCACCATTTGGTTTGGGCTGCAACTGGAGTAATCAGCAGAAATCTGAGCTTGGAGACAATTTCTGTTTGAGAAGAACATCCTGCAAACTGGAAACCTTACAGGAACTGTGGTGGGAAGAAGTAAGGGAGGGAGAGAATCATTTTGGACTACGGTCAGTTTGCAGACAGAAACACTTTTGATAAAGAATTTTGATGATCAAGGAACTTCACAATGTGGAAGTAGGTCTTTGGGGAAACAAAAACAGAAACACACACACACACACACACACAGAGCGAGAAAGAGAAAGAGAGAGAGAGAGAGAGAGAGAGAGAGAGCTTTGCTAATTCTGAATGGGAGCAGTTCTCCAAAACTTCAGACAAGAAACAATACTGGTATTTAAAGCTGGGTCATAATCCATGGAAGTGAATTGCGGATTGAGTGTTTACAAGGGAAAGCCTCAGATCTAAGAGTGGAGCCGGTAGGGGAATATTGGTACAAAACAGTCATGTACGATGTCTCACATGCAAGAAGAATATTAAAAAGATGCCTTATGTGGACTCGGACCATTGGTACATCTAGCTCTTTAATACCTGCAGTGACTAGCTGTGGCTCACCAGGATTTCACACAGCAGTCTCTCCCAGTCCTTCCTGGAGATGTTGGAGATTGATTCTGGGATGTTATAAATGTCCTACCATTACCTACAGCACTTCAGACAAAATGATGTGGTGAGTTCTAAAACAAGCTGGCCCCTTAGGGTTGCCAGTTAGTCTCACAAGATCAAATGAAGTCTCAGGGAACTGCTTTGCTTCTCCAGGATTCCAGCCCAAAAAACAGAATCTCAGGGAGAGTGGCGGCAGAGAAGACTCTCTCTTGTTTTTATTGTGTCAATGGGTTTAATGTCTAAGTGCCTGTTTTCTCCCTTCATCCCAGCTGGTTCCAGGATTCACTGAACAGCCTGAAAGCTTCTGCATAGGTACTGTATATGTGATATCTGTTAAGATACAATACAGGAAATCCACGCTGTTTTTCTGTTTGCCTCTCTCTCTCTCTCTCTCTCTCTCTCTCTCTCTTTTTTACACACACACACACAAACACACATGAACACATATAAATTTAGAATTGCTACACAAAGGATATCACAAGAGCCAGCCCCTTGACAACAAAACAGACCATCCTGGCCTGGTTTTGGCCCTAAAATCTTGAAGAACGGGAAGCTGTTGATCTACCAACCCTATTGCTATGCTCAGTAACATTGGTGCCTGCATGCCTCTGAGCATATGTAGTTTGCCCTCTACTGAGAAAGGATATTTTCTAGAATATGTATAGTTTAAAAGGGAGTCTGATGTCTTACCCTGTTTGCCTGAAAGTAAGTCCTAGTATGATTATTTTTCAGGATGCTTGTAAGATGAGCCCTACCCCCAAAATAAGTCCCAGTTAAGTGAAACCAAACTCCAGGAGGCAGTGGAAGACAGGAGGGCCTGGCATGCTCTGGTCCATGGGGTCACAAAGAGTTGTACACAACTTAATTACTAAACAACAACAGGTAAAACCCCACCCTCCACCATTGTGCAGCAACCAGAAGAAGATGGCACAACTGATGGAATAAATGTAGACTGTTGTACATGAAAAAAAATAAAACATCCCCTGAAAATAAGCCCTGCCTGATTTTTTTTGGAGCAAAAAGTAATATAAGACCCTATCTTACTTTTGGAGAAACACAGTAGTACTTACTTCTGGAAAGAACCAGGCTAGATGTTTTGCTTTGGGTTTTGTTTTTTTTTGCATTGACGCAAATAAACAGTATGCCTCGCAGTTAGATCTTGAAAGTTACTTTTAAAGGAAATGAACATACTGACATGCTGAAGACCTGTGAGACCCAGAGCATCATCATCCCACCCCTGCTCACTTATGGATGGCTTCAGTTTGTCATCACGTACTTTCTTCTTCAAAGTAATTTTCCAAATTCTGCCCCTCTGCCTGTGCAGAGTACTTCCCTACCCTCAAAACACACCATGGTTTTAATCAACATATTAGAAGAAATTAAATACAATTATTTCACAATTATCTCATATTCATTCCTGCTTCCTTACTTAAAAGGAAATATATTATAACCAGTTCTAGAAGCCTTAAGAGCTACTTCCTAACCATATTTCAACAGACATTTACAATCAGTGCCTTCTTTGCTAAACACCCACACCAGCCATTGACCTTTAATGAAGGAGAGAAAAAGCAGTAATCTGAAAAATACTTCCCCCAAAATATGTAAATGTAGCCGTTAGGAGAATAACAACAGCATTCAGTATTCAGGCCCACTTTCACAAATGTCGACTGAAACAGCACTCTGCTTTCTACGGGAGGGTGTGCGGGGGAAACCTGCTGAACTCTTAGTTCCAGTGACAATATTTCTCAATCATTTTAAATCAAGGATATATTCTAAACCCACTTTATGTTATCAGCTCAAAAACCTAGCATGACAATCCCTGTGCACAAAGATCTGGGCACTGCACGATTTGTCCAAACTTGGGACCAGAAAGCTAGAGTGTGGCATCTCAAGGCTGATCCAGATATGTTGCTAAACACATCTATTGAAAGCATATTAGGATTTTTAAAGAACACATAGGTCAAAATCCTGTCATGTAAGTTGCACCTGCATAAAGGCAATGATTTCACAAGCAGTGGGAGAAATTTGGCAATTAAAGACTTCCTACTTTTGACCCATGGCTTCTCTGACTCACGTGTAATGAGTCTCATTGCAGGGATGGGGATTCCCAACTTGCTGTTGAGTTGGATGTATGTTGCACTCATGACTTTACTTGGACTTGACTTGGGGGTTTCTGGGGGAACTTGCAAGTCAATTTGCAACTCAGATCCATTTGTCCAAGTCACATTGTCAAGTCCCTATGCTCCCACCCCCCACCCTGGTCCCTACTGGCCTACCAGCTGCTGCCACTGCCATCTTCAAATGCAGCACATCAGAGGGCCTTTCATGGTGACACTCTAGTCTGCTGTACTCAGAGGGCAAGTCCTCTGACCCATCTCTTCCTATAAGTTGCCCTGGTAATGCTCTAGCCTGTCATAGAGCATCAACAGGGTGACTTACAGGAAAAGGCGGGTCAGAGGACCTGCCTTCAGAGTACAGCAGCCCAGAGTGTCACTATGAAAGTCCCTCTGCCCTCCTCCTGCTTCAGAGGGCCTTCATGTACTAACATATCAGTGGGTCAGCAGATGCATTAGGGAGGCAAAAGGAGGCAGCAGCAGCAGATTGGTCAATGGCAATGGGGGTGGGCAGTCTTGAGTCTGAAGCCTTGGTGGGGGGCAATTGACTCATGACTTCAGCTTGGGATTTGGAACCAAAGACCTGGAATTGGACCCCAGGACTTTCCAACCTCTTTCATTCAGGCATTATTTGTGCTACATGATTTTGGCCATAATAGGTAAACGTAAAGGTTCCCCTTTATGTGGGGGACATGGTGGCGCTGTGGGCTAAACCGCAGAAGCCTGTGCTGCAGGGTCAGAAGACCAGCAGTCATAAGATCGAATCCATGCGACTGAGTGAGCTCCTGTCACTTTGTCTCAGCTCCTCGCCAACCTAGCAGTTCGAAAGCATGCAAATGCGAGTAGATAAATAGGTACCACCTCAGTGGGAAGGTAAAACAGTGTTCCCTAGTCACGCTGGCCACGTGACAACGGAAACTGTCTTCGGACAAGTGCTGGCTCTATGGCTTGAAAATGGGATGAGCACCGCCCCCTAGAGTGGAAGGTAAAACAGCGTTCCCTAGTCACGCTGGCCACATGACAACGGAAACTGTCTTCGGACAAGTGCTGGCTCTACGGCTTGAAAATGGGATGAGCACCGCCCCCTAGAGTCAGACATGACTGGACTGAAAATGTCAAGGGGAACCTTTACCTTTTTAAAGTTCCCCTTGACATTTATTCCAGTCGTGTCTGACTCTGGGAGGTAGTGCTCATCCCCGTTTCCAAGCCATAGAGCCAGCGTTTGTTTGAAGACAGTTTCTGTAGTCACATGGCCAGTGCGATTTAGACATGGAATGCTGTTACCCTTCCACCGTGGTGGTGCCTATTTATCTACCTGCATTTGCATGCTTTTGAACCTGCTAGGTTGGCAGGAGCTGGGACAAGTGGCGGGAGCTCACTCCGTCGCGTGGATTTGATCTGACGACTGCTGGTCTTCTGACCTTGCAGCACAGAGGCTTCTGCGGTTTAACCCACAGTGCCACCATATCCTTTTTATTATGGCCCTTTGGCCATAATAGGATACTATAAACATAACAGCAGTCATGGGAACTCTCCTTGGATCCAGAATGTACAGAGATGGTTCCATTGTCAGCTTTGATCTTAACATAAACCACTCTCCTACACAGAGATCACAAGATCATTCCAAGACATTTTGCTTCCTGGGGCAAAGAAAAAGATGACCCTCCCTCCACACACATAAACTGATCTGACTGTCAGGTCAATTAGTGAGTGGTGACATAATAGTTTTCTCCGTCTCATCAGAAAGCAGCAGAGGGGAGCAGACAACTTCGGCAGTTTTGTGGGGAGGGCAATGCTTTGTCTAGGATCTTGTAAAAAGAACCTTGGATGACCACATGCAACCCACTCAGGGTTGAAGAAGTGCAGGGCCATCTGGATGCAAGAGCTTTCCATTCCACCAGATGTGAGTAATCCAGGCCTGTCCCCATTGCCTCCTTCATACCAGCAAACATCTGCCCCCTGAACCATCTGCCTAATGGTAAGAGCCAGCCCTGCACACCTTTGGGAGAGGGATGAAGGAGCTAACTGAGTCAACACGGTTTTGCTGGTTGGTTGGTTGGTTCTAGAATTGACAGTAGCGCCAGAGAGAATATTTTCTTCAGAATTATGGCTGAGGGGGGGGGAATGCCACTGTGGCCCTAGTGAAAATTCTACTTAACCTGCTATTTTGGGGTCTTTTTTTTTTAAGTGATGAAGCAACATGTTCCTTGCCAAATGTAGTCAGCCCTCTAAAAGTCAAGCCAGCCCACAGACAGGCAAGCAGTCAGAAGGGAAAGCAGTGCAAGAATGATCTTCCACTGCTGGAAAGTAATCGCCCCTCCCCATTGCAGGATTAACCTCACACACACACAAACACACACACACACACCTCATGCTACCCTCCAGATTTCCTTCTTCCCATTCCTTAAGGCTTCCAATTCCATAGTCAGAGAGGAACTGCCCTACAGTGACCTTAATGGTGTGTGTGTATGTCTGCCTGTTGCCATTCAGTAGCATATGTTAAATCATTACGGCTGGGAATACAAACTCTCTTTTCATTTGTCATATTTAACAGCATCAGATAGGAAGGATTCCCAGAATCCATTATGAGATAAAATCATTAAGTTGTGTTTCATCTAAAGCACTCTCTAGCCTTTGAAGTTTGATATTGGTGGGAAAGGACAAAACACATCACATGAAAGTGTTGCAATAGCGCTATAAATTGTGGTGCTTCCTTGTTAGAAGAGCCAACAAATTAAAACAAGGGGCCTTCAAACAACCTTTACACAAACTCCTTGAAACTGCACATTATTTGGGTTACTGTGGACATGTGTCAGAAAATTGAAATGTTCTGAAGTGCTCTCCAGTCCACTTTGCTGCTTCCTGTTCCGCCTTTGGAAATGAGCAAAGCTGTCGCTCGCATGTGCCTGTGTGGAGGAGGGAATTCAAATTCCTTCACCCAAGGAACAACTCAAAACAAAACAAAGTATGAATTAAATACATTTTTAAAATCTTGCTGGATAGACCAACGTTGTTACACTGCAGTCCTACCTGCCTGCTCCACGTAAACCCATTTCGATGGGGTAGAACAATGGTTCCCAGCCTTGGGTAACCCAGGTGTTCTTGGGCTGCAACTCGCAGAAACCTTGGCCAGTGCAGCTGGTGGCAAAGGCTTCTGGGAATTGCAGTACAAGAACACCTGCATTACCGAAGGTTGGGAACTACAGAGGTACAATATAGCCTCCCAATAAAGAGGCATATGAACCACAGGCCTTTGAAGACCTGAAGATGGGTAAGGTGGAATACACCAAAGTTGTCTAAAGAAGTGGTACTCACCCTAAATACTGTAGAGGGGAGTGCTTTAACACCGAACCTTCTTCTTCTGGTTGTGTCATGATAAGTATGAGAGGGAAACCTACTTCAAAGATCACATCTTCGTATATGAGCCTGCCTGGGTTTTAATAGCATCAGGGGAAGCCTTTGTTTCCATTCCACCACCCTCACAGGTGCATTTGGAGAGGAAACAACAGAAGGCCTACGCTTGCTATTTCCAAGTTGTGGAACTTCACGTAAGCAGGGTCCCATTCCTTAATATTTCTCTTCAGGTACATTTTTCCTCTTCCCTGCTTGAAAGGTGGTTTGTTTGGTTTTCTTTTTCTCTTTTTTAAATTCACCTGCTGTGTTTCTAGACCTGTTCTAAACTATTTCATCCACTAGTTTTAATATTTCTATTTAATCATTTTTAATAGTGTCATCATTAATTTGTTTTTAGTATTTAATATTTGTCTTAACATTGTAAGCTGCCTTGCAACCTCTTGGGGAGAAGGAAAGGGTATAAATATTTTTAAAGAAAAAAAGAAGCTCCACTATTGGTGGCCATTTTCAATAAGTGTAGGGAAATCAGGGTTCCAACTTCTATTTATGAATAGCTGTGGATCTCCACTTCAGCCTTATGACCCTCCATGTAGAGGAGGGCAATGAAGCGAGGAAAAGACTAATGGGGCTAGACCAGTGATGGTGAACCTTTTTGAGCCCGAGTGCCCAAATTGCAATACAAAATCAACTTATTTATTTCAAAGTGCCAATACTGCAATTAAAACCTGAATGCTGAGGTTTTAGTTTAGAAAAAACAACTGTTCCTACACTGCAAGGGTCAAATGCTTGTCCCCCCCCCCTCACGGGCAGTATTAACAAATAAATACTTACTGGTGGGGCAAATCTGCCTTCCAGTGGGAGGGAGTTTCAAAGGCTGGGAGAGTCTTTGAAACACAGCTGCATCTTTGATAGTGCAGGGATGGTGTTAAAATACTTGTATGTGTTTCGAAAACATAGGTTGTTTTCTTAACAGGCTCCTTATAATATCTTTTTCATGGCAAGGGCAAACAAAGAAATGTCCAAAAAGAGGCAAAAAAGGGTCAGAAAAAGTCAAAGGCTTCATTGTGTGACTTATTCATTTACTACTTTCATTTTCCCCTAGCTCAGGGCTTAGGAAAGTTTCCTTTGGTGCAAATGCTGGAAGATAACTTTTTGGAGCACCAGCCTAGAATCCTGTCAGAAGGCCAATATATGGGGAGATTTAACAATCAGAGGGATTGGT